TGTTAATTCCTTTGCAGACTATGCCTTTGGTTCTCTAGAGACTTCAGATCTGAAGTTTGGGTGCAATGCCCAGGCAATCGCCAAACAGCTGTGGCTACAGCACAATTGCTTAATTTGGAGCTACAATTAGCGCCCTATGGCCCTTCCCAAACCTCTTGAACGGCAGCCAGCGTACAGAGGTGTGTGGGATGTTCTGACACATCAACAGGCATGCAGTGCTGGCGTGGGTGCCGCCTACACTTGCAACAGTAATTTATGTGTACCTGCAGAAGTTCGTTTTAATTCAACTCAGCTGGCATGCTTAGGCGCCCGTCGTTTTGGGTTGTGACCTGGAACTGCATCAGGTCTTCACCGGTTTCTTGAAAATCGCAAGAGTCTGCAAGTGCGCCTTTGGTCGTTTGTTGTTGTTTATCCAGAGAGTAAATGGCGTGACTCCAAAACTTTCGCTGCTGCATCTTGCCGCCAGCAAAAAGCGCAGCAAGGAACAAGCAGAAGCTAGGGCTCATGACACGGGGAATTTGTGCATCTGCGAAAATATATGCTACCTATGCACATATGCCAGATACCCACATACCTGTTCAGTAGCAATACGGTAATAGACGGTGTGTATGTCTGTAATGGTAAATAATGGCCTAGGTGTTATGCTGCAATACCTGTATTCCATTATACCTGTGATGTACCCTATGATGCTCTCTTCGCTGAATTTATGTGCGCCTATGTTGTGGCCAGCATGTTTGCATTCCCCATGTCTGCATGGCGTTGCAAAGACTTCCTCGTACAAAAGAGGGCGTACATGTATGTCCTCAGTCCCTCTCTCATGTGCTTGCTAAGGCGCCGCTCCATCAACAGCTGACGAATGTGGATGCAAAGAATGCACTGCCGCCACTGCACGGTCCCTCGACAGCGCATCGATTTAGCACAATTTTCAGCAAGTTAAGTTGTTCATATCACAGAGAGCACGTGTGTCAAATGCACAACGTTTGAGCTCGAATCGTTCACTAAGTCTCTAGAAATGGAGCCATCAAGAGCGCCTGTGCCGCCTCAAAGACGCATGCCGTCGAAGACGTGTTTGATGGACGGTATCGGTGCCGCTTCAAAGGCATGGGCTACGCATTGCAGGTGGCGCCCCCTACATGAAAACCCAGTTTTGACGGGCCGCATGGTTGCCTCTTTGTCCTCGCAAGCTGGAACAAAGCGCCAAAACACGTCTTTCTGGCGGAAAGCACAAACGATGGCCGCTAGTCAGCCGCTAGAAATAATTGTCCCATTCCATGGCTTGTCTTCTCCTCCGTTGCGTCCACATGACGTCAGAGTTGCGGTCTCGCTACACTTGGGATGCACAGCATGGGCTTGAGACGCCAGCCTTCCACAGGACTTCCAATCTCTCCGTGCACGCGGGCATGTGACACGGCCCAGGCTCAACTTGATCGGTTGAGCCCTCCACCTGATCAGGTGCGCGAAAACGTGTCTGTGATCCTGTCCCTGAGATGGCCGTGGGCGATTCCTGGATACTTCCCCTGCGTCCGCCATCTCCCGTGTCCCACACCACATGGGCTGAACGGGCCCTCGGCCTGTGGCGGAAATATCCGTACCCAGAAGGCGTTGCCCCTCAAGGGGCTCCAGCCCACTTCTGCGCAGAACTCCAGCCCTACGGCAGTTCCCCCCGGCCGAACACCCCCACGGACAACAAATCTAATTTTTTTGTGCTCTTCTCGGAGTTGCATCCCCATCATAAATCCTACGGGCCCTACGTACCTCATAGTTCCTTGCCCAATCAAGGGGAGGCGTTCTCATCCCCACACCCTTGGACACACCTCCTCAAGCTGGCTCATCCCGGCCTCATTTTTTGTCCTTTTCACCCCCCTTGACCCCCTGTCTCTCGGCCTCCCAGTCCGTCCATCCAGGCGCGGGGGTGCTCCAATATCTCTCTCATTTTTCATGGGCCAGCCAGCTCCAAGTCGCAGCCACCCCAGCCATATGGCGCACCTTGCAAGCAGTTGTCTCGATGGGCCGCCTGCCTCCGCCTCTCGAAGAAGAGTGTCATTCTCCAGGGGTGCGCTCTTGATCAAGACGTTGGCGCAACTCATGAGATGTGCGAACTGCTCTTTGAGGCCGGCCGCCCATCGAGGACTAGGCTGTCGTCCGCTGCCCGATGGAGACCTCAACCGCCGCGCCCAACGCAGATGTTTTGTAGCAGCTGCATAGACATCCCACGAATTGTTGTATTGGTTGGATCAACCTCCTGGACACGGTCTTTATCCTTTCTTGCGGGGCGGGTGGCTAAATTTCCACTGAATTTACACATCTATTGCCCGCATGGACGCCATTATGTCGCACGGTGGATTGATGCTCCTGGGCTGCTGATTACAATAGTGGTCCCTGCATAGCCCCCCCCCCCGCCGTTTTGCAGATGAGTGAATTTACTATATGAAAAAGGAGTATATGTGGGCTGGTTGTTAGCAGGTGAAATGCCAAAAAAATGTGAAATTCTTTTCCTAGCTCGCACGTGGGGATGCGAGAGCAGTGGGGGCATGCCGCTACAGCTGTGGCAATTTTCTGAGTACCCCTACCGAGATGAACGGTTTGAGGGTGTGTATTATTACTTGTTTAGTTGGTTGATACGATCTGCTGCAACGTTACCTGAGTTGCTGAGCATGTCCTGGAATTATTGAGTCATTGGCGAATTCACTGTCCTGTTCTATTGCTTAGTGTCCAAGGGTCCACCTGGAGAGAGCCACCCTTGCTGCAAGCCCCAATGTACGCCCCCCCTGACGTACGACTGAGCTCTGTGCTGGGAATGGAGAACTGAGCCGGGAATTCGTCGTCAGTAAGCTATTTTAGTAATGTACGCTCATTCAGATGGAATGTCAAGGCTGGGAATATGGATTGCATTGGCATTATTAACTTCATCATATATTATTGATTTGATTGATTTGATTGCTGGATCATTGTGGAGGGACGTTCTTGGGACTGAACATGATTCTTGGGACTGAGCGTGATTGTCGGGGACAGGAATTGCTTGCCGGGGTATGGAATTGCTTGCTGGGGACTGGAATTGCTTACTGGGGACTGAAATTGCTTGGTGGGGACTGGAATTGCTTGCTGGGGACTGGAATTGCTTACTGGGGACTGGAATTGCTTGCAGGGGACTGGAATTGAACCGGTTGTATGTATGTACCATGCTGGGGACAAGTGTTGGAGAACTTGAGATGTTTTGGGGACAAGCTCAGGGGGGTTCTGTACAGGGATTGCGGCTTGGGAGGCTTCTCAAAGGGCTGGTTAGGACTGGGGACTGGAACCTGCCCAGGACCGGGGACGGGAACATGGACAGATCCGGGGACTGAGATACACCTTTTGTGGTACAAATGCGCATGGATCATTCTTGTAACAACAACTCTCTGGGCCCACCATTACTGCTGTGCATGTGTCTTTGTTTCCGAACTGCCCTCGAACAGTGTGTGCAGCATCTCGTTTTGCCTGTGGGGAAGGAGGCGACAGCGGTGTCTTCCGAAGATCGGGACCGCATTCGACGCTCATCAGCCTTTTGTGACGGCTGCTCTGGCATTTACGGATCTGCAGCAGTACAGACCGGATCTGCAGCAGTACAGACCTGATCTGCATCCGCCTGGCGCGGCCAAGGTACGTGGGTCACCGCCACATTCGTGGGTTGTGCGGAAGTGGCGACAGGTTGTCCCAGCTAATTCACACCGGGACTCCCGCTGCTTTGTCACCCCTGTGGGACCGCTGCTCAGTGCAACAATCCGTTCCCATCACACCAGCGGACGCGGTGTGGTTCGTTCACCAATGACACCTGCTGCCAACAAAAACAATTACATGCGAATTTGTTACACAAGAGAGCGACCGGACGAACCAAGACTCGGTGCCTCCGTCACTAACCGTCGCTCAAATATGTGCCTCAACGTCCGTTGCTCGTTACTCGTCAGATGCGGAAGGCACCAAAAATGGTACACAGACTAATGGCATCCATCTGCCCCACGCAAACACCAAGGTGTCAGCAAACACAAGGTGAACATCCAACTTCGCTCGATCGGCCCCGCCATTCCGATGCACCTGCCTTCACTCCTAGTGAGCAGCATCGATCAACGTCCTTTCCCGGGTTCCCAAAAAAAAAGGTCCACACATACACGCAACATCATACATGTGCAAACATCACAAGTCATACAGGGCATGATCTGCATGCCTGAAGCCTACGAAGCCTACCAACGTCTAGAGAAACCATTCTTCCTACTGCCAACCGTTCTTCAAACCTGGTGTTAATCCGATGGCTTACTGTACTCATAACTGCTGCCAAGAGGCTAGCAGGAGCCCCAGTCAGCCCATATTCAGGCCCGCAGGCCATTGTTCGCACCATTCCAGTCTGCAGCATCATAGTACATTGAAGTGGGCAGCCCAATGGCCACCCTCCAGACACATCAGTGTCCAAAATTGTAAGAACATACCAGAGTCCACCAAAAGACGTTCGCACCAGCACACAGGCACATGCGGAAGCATGTGCAGAGTAGTGCGCTGCACGACAATGACCGCCGCCCCAGGGCAAGCCCCGAAGGCAACATCTGCAAAACAGCAGAAAATTGTCCACCACGCTGACCAGAACGCCCTCACCACTCGTAGCCTCAGTTGCAGGACCGCAAATCGCAGCCCATCATTCTGCCAGCCTTAAACCTTCACATAACTCCTTAGGCACAACGTCAGCCCTGCCACCGCCGACACAGATGCTGATACACTCACACCCCTTCTCACCGATGGACACGCAGCCACTGCCATTGGCAGCCCACTGCCGCCACACCTCTGCTTGGCTCACTCTCTTTCCACCCTCCCCAACTCGTCAAAATCGAAGCCACCACCAACCAGTCCTCCACCTGGCTTCGCCCCCACCTTCCTTCCTTCCTTCCTTCCTTCCTTCACCAGCACCAGCCCACTCCTTGGAGACACAATCCACACAACATCGAACCATCCATGCTCCAGTCCTGGCAGGGAGTTCACAGGCTGCTGCTGCGAAGAAGGTCGCAGTAGTCGTAGGCGTCCATGCCCATCACCTTCACAGACCTCGCCCTGGACTTGAGTGTTGCACGCGCCGTGGGCACAGCCTTCGGCGGGACCGCGCCCACTGGCTGTGCTCCAGCGGTGGAATCTGAAAAGCCAAAAAGGGTTTAGGCAAGGAGCAGCAGCAGCAGCAAAGATCTTTAGGCACTAAGCACTGGCAACATGCAAGTCTGCAGCACATCCAGAGGGTGCCTTGCGGACAGGAAACGACACAGCTCCCACAGATGCGGCTGGGTGCTCAGGGAAAGCGATAAAGCGTTCACAAGGGCATATGTGAAGGATTTGAATGACCAAAGGGGAGGCAGCGCGACAGTGCGGGCAGCACACGCAGACAGCGAGGTGACGTGGATGTTGTTGAAGCCCAGGGCATCCAACCAACCTCCAGCCGCCAACAGTGTGGGCAGGCTTACTCTCGCAGCGGGTCGTGTTGGACTGGTCGATGCCGTTGTCGCAGATCGTCTTGGCGTCCGCCATGTCCGCAAACAGGGACCTGTATTCCTCCTCGGCTGCCGCAACAGGGGGAAATAGTCGCGTCAGCAACCTTCCAGACGCGAGGGCTGCCGGCAAGCAAGCAGCCAGCCACCGGCCACGACGTGCTGCAGAAGCGATGAAAGCGCGCTCGGCACCCAGGGCGGAGTCGATTCAAGTTCCAACCAGGGGCGGGGGAAAGGCGAAAACTGATTCTTCACCATGAAGGGGCAGTGCGGCATCCGTCAAGCGAGGTACACACTGACCTGACGGGCTGAAGCGACGCGAGGGCAGTAACGCAACGGCAGCGCATGGGCCTCCACGCGCGCACCTAAGAGCAGTATGGCGCCGGGGCAGCCCTGCACCTTTTTTCATAACAGGGCAGCGGCGGCGGGGCCGCCATGCGGGTCAATCGAGACCGAAAATCCGCGCCGCACGGAGCGTGCCCCAAACAGCACATGACCAAAATTCCGCACATTCCGAGGTCGACGGCTGCCAGCGATTCGCCGCGGCGCCAACCATCCAGTTGAACAAAGAGCCTCCAAACCCCGAAGCCAGGCAATCCCAATCCAGCAATCCGCTCGAGAGGAACGGAGCAGCCCGGCGAGCGGGCGCCAGGCGTCCCTTCGCACCCCCAGCACCGTTCCTTCCCTCCAAGCCCGATCTCCGCGCCCCTCCCCATCTCGAGCACCTTCGGAAAAAAGGGTACCCTGCCCGCCGCCGGTGTCGGCAGCCAACCTCACAAGAGGGTTCTCACCGGGCCAAGCACAGTTCCCGCATCCTCGGCTCCTCCCCTTCTCCCTCCTTCCTTTCCCCTCGCCTCCCCGCTAAAAATAAGAAACCGAAACGCCCAGCGGCCGGAGCCGATTCACACCCAGCCCCACACCCGGCTCACCGTCTTCCTGCGCGTTTAGGCTGAAGTCATTGAAGCTGGGCGACGTGGATATGCGCGGCGTGCCGACCGGCCGGGGGCTCAGGATTCCGCCGCCGCAGCCATCGCTGGAGCTGCTGCTCCGCCGGTGCGATGCCTCCTCCGCGCCACTCGACAGCGTGCGTGCCAGCCGCCCCACGATTGATGCCATCCCGGCCTTCCCTCAATCGCCTCCAAAACCTGAAGGGGTCGCGGGCGCCCAAGCCGCGGAAGGAGGGTCCTGAGCGAGTGCTGTTGTGAAGCTGTGGCTTGCGCCGCCCCGTCCAGTGCCTCACATCGCCGGGCGCGCCTCTGCGAGCGGGGAGCGAAAGATTATGGCAGAGTTGTGGTGGGGCTGGGGCTATATGGTGGCGGAGTGGTCCGACGGAAGGGCTGGGAGAATCGGAATCAAAGATCCGGACGGGGGGGCGCGTGGAGGCTGGCGTGTCTGGGAGGCGCCCATGGCGGGCCCGGGTGCCGGGCTGTACATGACGGAATCGAAAGGGTGCCTGGGTGCATCAATCGGACACGGTGGCGAGTGCTGGATGCGACAGCGGGGTGGGGCGCTCGACCATGGGGTGCGTTGTCGCGCTCCACGCTCGCTGAGGGGGGGAAAAGCACGGTTGATGTCAGGCTTGACCACTGAGGGGCGAGGGCTTCTTCGGAGACGCGCTTTTCTGAAGGAAAAGGGCTGTGCCAGTGTTGCTGAATGGGCCCCCAGGTTGTTCGCAAAGTTCGTGCGGCGGAACTTTTGCCGGTTCAGAAATTGAGGCGGGACCCGTCGCTGAAAGGAGGGAATCCGGGCCCAAAAGATCAGCGCACTTTTGGACTGGTATGAGTGTGCTCGCTGCGAGCAAGTTTCAATCAGGGAGTCATGGTGGGCTTCTACAGCTTTCAGCCGGCAGCCGCCATTCCAAGTCCGCGACTGCCCTGTGCCTCGCCGGCCTGCCCCGTTCTGTCCAGCCCTGCTAATGTGACTGCGTATTTGGAATTAGCGAAGCACGGAGTGCTGTGTTTTAGGGCTACGGAGTATCCAATCTACACGAAAGTCAAGCCACAACCGGCCCCAAGAAATGCGTTCCACCGCCCACAATATTGCGTCAATCAGTGCGGCTGGATTCCTGCAACAAATGGGCTTCGTGCATTGCACATGCATCCACATCCAGGAAATTCTCGGAATTCCTATAGCGCCCTTACTCCTCTTTCTTTGAATGACCGCTTGGTGGCATGCTCGGGGCATCCCATGCAGCGAGAGCATCATCCATGATATGATGGTGTTCGACTCAGTCCCCAGATGACCAAATCACACATGACTTGGCCTTGTACGGTGCATTTCTTGGGACGAACTGCTGGGAGAGCGTCCAATATCTGTGGTGAGTACTTAAATTGCTCGTCAGCTTCATGTTGATGGGACAATATGTGTTGTTGTACGATGTTCTTTGTAATCACAGCAACGGGGAATGTCCAGGGGTGCCCATGTGGCACCCTTGCGACGGCTCACCAGTGTGCACTCGCACGGCACTCAGGGCTCTTGTCATGCGGTCCCGGTGAATCGAACACTTGACCCCAGTACATCACACTGGATGCAAAATTGGCCTGCAGACTCCTGGTCATCTTGCGGTGACACGATTCGATTCGGTTCAATTGAACAAGAACTAAATGTCTGCAGGCATGCCATGCTTGCCATTGGCGGCCACGTTCCCTCCCTTCAGTCAAGCGACTGGGCGCAAGAGACACATTTGTGCACACGACGCACCCATAGGTGACCCTCGAGCACAAGTTCACTGGCCCTGCGTTTGGTTAACGCTCGGCAATGAAGTTCCGATTGGGGATATGTGGGTGGGCGCTTGGGATGCGCCAGGCACGCCGGCCAATACTGGCAGCCAGGTCTGTTTTCCGGCAGCCGTTCTCCTTTGCAGTATGGACCATTGGTCCACAGGCGTCTCCGAGGGAACTGCGGATGTTTGTCAAGTGTGTCAAGAAAGAACTAGGGCATGTGTTGTGAAGCAGGATGGCAAACTGACCAAAACGCGTTTCAATTCATTTGGCCACTGTGCGTGTCGGGCAGGAAAACGTGTCCTGTTGCAGGACCCCATCAAGCAAACAGGAGTTTCTTTCATAGCAGGGCTTGAAAGCGTCAACGCCACAAGCAGTGGCATCCGTCAATACAAGAACAGTACAGAAACCCTCTGTCCACACAGTCACCATCGCCTTTTTTATGGAGCCGTCAAAGAATGAATCACAAGCCGAATCAATTGCACTCTCCTCCAACTCCCCACACAAATATACACCCTCTCCTCCCGGCTAGTGTCGATCGCTGCAGTGAATAAGCGCCGCGTTCAGGCAGTGGCGCATGGCGTACAAAAAATGGGTACACTATTCCCCACCACCTGACTGCCGGCCCTCCTACTGCTACCAGGGGGCCTGACGAACAGCGCAAATAGATAGTGTGGCACAGCGCTTTATTCTCAGTGGGCGATCTCAGCACTATTTCCAGGCGAAGTCATGTAACATGACTCATGTTGTTCACCGCTGTTGTTCCATCTGTTCTTGCAGCACCGCGACCGCCTCCACCAGTTGCTGCCTCACCATGTCGTCCATGCCTCCAATGTCGCCTTTAATCTCCTTCATCATGGCTGTCATTTCGCTGCACCTTTCATCGAGTGCTCGCCTGGACGACAAGATACAAGTTGTGCAGTTAGACGTCAAAACGAGGAACGAGGCAAAATTTGGCACGTTCATGCTGTACTTCTTAAGAGAGGGCCTATGACCTCAACGAGCTTCAGAGATGCCCCTGTTGGCATGGAAGACACAAATTCCTGTGTCACGCCCAAGAGCATAGGCAAGCTGTGGAACACGTAGAGACTTTGATGGATGAACTATGGGTACTGGACACAGCACTCTCCTTGTCTGGTCCACTAGTCTGCAAAGGCACACACAATGCCCAACAGCAGCGCCAGCCACAAAGCAACTGTTCAACGCACTTGAAGCGGTTCTCAAGCTCTGCGATCCTTCCCGGCCAGTGGGTGTGGTAATTAGGTGGCTGGGTGGACCCTCCTTGTGGCTCGATGACATGCAGGAAGCGGGAGACCTCACGCCTGCATGCACAGATGCTGTTCTCTCAAGCCAGCAATGTTCATACGCCAAACCTTAGCAAACAGGGACACTCTGCTGTCAATCGCATGCGTATTAGGAGCTAAGCCACAAACCCATGCACGTGAGCTGCATGTTGCACTCGACACGTGCTCGTATTGCTGGTGCAGTGTGTTGCAGCTGATGTTTCTTTTCACACTGCAGTGAGGTCTCACTTTTTCTTGTTTCATTCCTTTCCTTGGCTCAGCTGGTCACTTCTGGACCATTCAGGGGATGCAACTCCCAACTGCACAGTGTCAAAGGTGAACGAGCTCACCATGAAGGGTAATTGACAATACAATATTGCAGACAGTTTGTCCTGGGCGGCCAGGAGCGTTTGACGTGTTTGATGTCAAGGGCGCTGAAAGATTGCCACAGCACAAGGTGTCACAGCACGATTCTGTGCTGATTCTAGAGTAGCAGAGCAGTCGGGACTGGCGTGGCACTGCTTTGTGTCAATCAACACAGAAGTCCGCAAGCACAAGTACAACTACATAAGCCACAAAACAGCACAATAGCAACCTGTATGAATGCCGTGCCGACAAGCCAAACACTCACTCGATTTTTGTCTTTGTTCCCAGGAAGGTAGACAAACTGCTCTCCAAACCGTCAATGACAGTGGCCCGGGCCTTCACAGAGCAAATGTCCTGTCGACCCTTTACCCTGCAGTGCAAAGGGAGCTGGCTCAGAAAGTGCACAGAGGCTTGCACAATGCCAGACGACAGCCCAGGGCGAGGAGTGCTTGGCCACTGCCACCAAACCCACGCATGTGGCACATACTTTGTTATCGCCACCACATGAAAGCAAAATATAACTATCTCTGTAATTCAAGCGAAGCTGGACAATCAGGACAAGATGGGACCATTGAAACAACAGTCAATGCCCATTCCCTAGCTGATGAGGACAGCTTAACTTGCCAAACTGGGAGGACATCAAAATCCTGCTGCAGTCTGTTCTGGAAAACACAGCATCTTTCACAGTTTGTACACCAAAACAAACCACCAGCTTCAACACAAAGGCTACAGCATTAATATGTCGCCAGTTTGGGGAAGGACTCTGCCCTCACCTGTCATAGGTATCGGTCATGAGGGCAATCAGCAGGTTGAGCAGCACAATAGTCATGGCTGTCATGTACACCACAAATATGGAGAGTGTGATCACGTATGAGGGCGTCTCGTAGAATATGGGCATGTCGAACTCGCCCAACATCATCCCAAACGTGGTCAACAAAGACCTGCCAAAGGTGCCAAAGCTTTCCCTCACGTCCAGGAGGACCAAGTCATGACGGAAAGAGATGAAGAAAGCTGTGGAGAAGCCGAAGATCATGACCGCCAGCAAAGCAATGAAGATGGTCATGTCCTTCAGGATTTCGAAAACCATGATGACCACAGGCCCAATGCCCCGGCAGGCCTGGGCAAAGTACAGCAGCCTCCACCACAGTGCCAGCAGGGTGATAGAGGCCAGCCACGACTCTGCCTCGCCAAGCTCCTCGTTTGTTGCACAGAAATGCACCGCAGGGAGCGCGAAGGCTGTCACAAGAGATGACAGCAGATCCAGCATGTTCCAACCCGACGAGAACCAGTACCACAGGCCACTGAATCCGTGGTTCTTGCCATCGATCGCCAGTGTCGTTATTTGATTCACTTTCCAGTGCAAGTTGACCAGCCCCATCACAGCGCACAATAAGAGGCACATGCCCTGGACTGCACCGTTGGAGTCTGCAATCACATCCTCGAAATTCTCGGGATCCTTGTTCTTGTGCCCCAGCAGAATGGCGTAGATGGTGAACAGCATCACATAGGTCAGGTAGACAACCAGCTCATGTGCAAACAACCTGCCGGCGTACTTCTGCCACTTATACTGCACTACAGCATGCACCAGCTTCGATGCAAACACACGATCTGGGACCTTCGTTGACACAAGCAAGGGTCTCAAAAGGCCCCTCATGCCAAGTTGGCAGCAATCGGGGTATGGAAAGACCTTGGCCACTGTCGCAACCTCGAATTTTCCCACTGTCAGCTGTGTGGGCTTGTGGAGGTGTCCCCACAGGTGCTGGAGAGAGTTCATGGGCGTTGAGAACACATTAGACGTCGCCACGACACTGGAGGTCCTCTGGAAAACGTCTTCCGGAACCTGCAGCACGCCTATGGCTGTTGGCATGCCGTCAGCAGTGATGGCATCGACCACGAGCGATGGAACGGCACGGCCAAGTGGAACGAGGGACTTGTGCAGGAACCCGGCCATTGCTGTGCTCGAAACCACACGGGTGGTCATCGTTTTGATCAACATTTTCGCGATCTCAGAGGAGTGCCGCTGAAAAGCGATCTCGAGTGCGCTCTTGGTTGGCACATCTTCCAAACCAAACGGGTTTGAGGTTAGGGACACCAATGTGTTCCGCTTCTCTGCATACTCCAAGGCTCCCCTGACAAACTCGACGTTCTTGTCCTCAATGGCGTGCATGAAGAAAGACATGCCATTGGCATCTGGGATGTTCAGCACAGCGGCACCGTACTTCTTGAGAATGCTGGTTATGCTCTTCTCCCTGTGCAGAAAATCGCCTGAGCAGAGTGAATGATACTCTGGGATGCAGCCCTTCGTTGCACATGGCGTCCAAACCACAACCCGCGTCCCATCTCCAGCACAGGCGATGCGCCTGCCCCCAGCAGAGATCGCAATCTTCTCTGCGTATTTGATGGCACGAGTCTCAAGGCTCTTCCGTTCTCCTGCCCCAAACAACTGCATCACCACAAGCTTCGTTTTGCCCTGTGAGCTTGCTGTCTGCCAGTGCTGTGGAAAATCTCCCTCACCATGTGTAGGGTTGTCATCCACTACCATCCACGTGTTGTCGTCTGAAATCGCCAAGTGCTCAGCCACCTTGTGCAAGCCATGCCTGTCACTCTTATCTGTGTCTGACCACTGCAGCACTGGCTTCATCGCTTTCTCATCCCACCCAACGACAGCAAAGCTGCCATCGTGAGCGATGTTGCTTGGGTACGGTGCCAGCCCATCTGGAGCGCAGTGGAAGGACACGATCTTTGACTGCTTTGAGCGCTGCACCAGATCGAAAAGTATGATCACATCCTTGTCCCCTGGGACAATGGCAGCCAAGGACCCATCAGGCTTAAACACGCATGCCCTGCAGTCCTTGGGACCCACCATCTCAAACCGGTCGAGCATCATGCACTTCTCCGTGCTTAGCCACACCAGCGACCCATTGTCTTCGCACACCACCACTGTTTCATTGTCATCCTCATCACGGGAGAACACCATCCCCTTGGCTGGGTCCAATGACGCAGACCTGAGGGACCCCAGCTCTGCCTTGCGCCCCAAAATCTTACTGGCCTCACCCCCACCCACAGACAAGTCCCACATCAGCACCCTCCCATTCCACATCACTGTCGCCAGCCGTTCACCATCTGCCGAAAACGCAAACTTTCGGAACTCGGATTTCAGTGCCCCATGCTCTGACAAACACATCGTCTCACCGCTTCTGAAGTCAAGCACATACATCGATAACAGGTCCCTCCTGATGAGGGCAAGCTTGTTGCCATCAGGGGAGAAGCCCAGTTCAATGATCGGTCCACCACGTCGCGACTTTGACAGGCTGCCTTTCTTGTTCTTCCTTGAAGGCTGGCTATCAGCCTCATCCTCCGGCAGAGTCCAAACAGCCATCGAATTCTGTCTGCGCATGGAAGCAGTCAGGGTCTCCGCGTTCCACACCAGCCCATTCCTCCTTCCACACATAACAAACCTACAGTCCCTGCCACCAAAGGCCATGAAACGTTGCTCGGTCAGATCCTGTGGCAGGGCAATGTCCACAACCTTAAGGCCCTGCACAAGGTCCAAAACATACCCCTTGTTTGCTGTCCCCATGTACAACCCCAACCAGCGCCGGTTGGGAGACATTGCCACTCCCTGGAAGCCCTCTGCCACCTTGTCACCCCACTGACTGACACCAGACATTGGGCCAAGTCCCAAGCTCATCACTGTGCCTGGGGTGCCAGCACTGTCAACATCCCAAATCACCATCTCAACATCAGCGCCAACCCTGCAAACTGCCACCCTTGATGCATCAATGAAACGTGCCCATAGCACACGCTTCTGGTCATCTGTGCTGCCGACCATGGTGTAGCTCCCACCTTCCCTGATGCTGGGTCGATACCGTGGGCTCCACTCTGGGTGGCCAGGAAACAGCTCCACCAGGTACTGTCCGTCCTTCTGTCCTTCAGGGTAATGATCATTCATCATCTGAAACTGAGCCTCGAGCTGCCTGACCTTCCACACAAAACAACCTCCAGTGTACCTTTCTGGTGAGCCTTTCTCTGCCTGCAGAAATGGGTCCCAAGTGACAACCAGTGTTCCATCTGGAGACCAACTGCCCATGGACCCACTCAGCAGAAAGCTCTTCTTTGGAACGCCCCAGTCTGGCCAAAGAACCATGCTGCCAGGTACGCTTCGCTTCTCACCATATACTCCAGCCAGGACTCCCCTGCCGCTGTCCGAAAACTCCACACCTTGCAGGGCGCTAGGCTGCCCAGGTTTCCAGACCACAGTGAGTCTCAGCTGCCTCTCCGGCCAGTTCTCATCCTCGTCACGCTCAGGAAGAGTGTAAATGTCGAGAAAAGCAGTCCGTAGATTCTCTTGCTTGACAGGCGGTGCTTTTTGTGCCTGCTTCGTGCTGTTAAAACTCTTCTGCTCGCTGATCAGATGGAAATGCCAGTGAGTGTTGAGCATAACACCCATCAGGACACCCCCAGGCGAGATCTTGGCATGAGAGTCTTCGATGTCGATGTGCCCAGCCTGGCAATGGTCGCTCACAGCCTCGCTCTTCACAGGTGGCTGATCGCTCGAAGTATCCCATCGAAGGGTCATAAATGCCTTGTCGATTGACACAACGATGGTGTTCGAGTCTTCCAGGAAAGAGCAAGAGACAACCTGCAGGCAGGTGTAGACGTCAGGCACATCAAGTCTGTTTCAAATTGTCTCCTAGGCAACAAGCACATAACTGAAGAACAACATAAAAGCTGCCATTCTGACACATTTCAAAAACCCATGACCACTTCTCCTGCCACACATGCACTACCAGCATTCTTTGCAAACACCCGCATTGGTCCGAAGCCAAATCTTCAGCAACAAACAAGCTGGTGGACATGAAACGTCTGCTGCTCATTCTTTAACACCATAGATGTGCGTTAGCACTTGTTGCACACTCATGTGATATATCGTCTTGCATCTGGGAGTAGGCTTCTGGCTATATTTTCCACGTGCCACCACATGAAATGCATATCCTAAGGTGCGCAGTCGCTTACCGACTCAGCATGGCCTTCATCTGTCAGCACCGCTACAAGACTCCCCAGCTGGGTATCCCAAACAACCAATGCTCCACAATTAAACCCCGTCACAAGCCTTGTGCCATCACGGGAGAAAGACGAGCAGATGATGGCTGCAGGGTCATTCTCAGTGGGCCAAGCAATTGCTTTGCTTATTGCAAGGCCCTTAGATGGTGTGGTTTGCTCCATCTCTGCATCAGCCTCTCCATCGTCGACATTACTCTCCCTAGCTGTGCTCAGAGCTTCCATCTCCATTTCTGCTGGCTTTATGGTATTCCCAGGCGTCTCAAGAAGGCAGACAGGAATTCCACTGACAACTCGATAGTCATCGAAGAAGGTCAGAGGCGTGTCGATGAGCTGTGTGCAGCCTGCCCAGAAACACAGTGCTTGAGGAAGCCGGTCAACCACACAAGGAACCACTCACAAGCCAGAACTAGCTTCACCACGCGCAGCTGACACAGTCACTGCCACAGATACAATCAATACCTGGACACAGGTGCTACAGGTGCGGAATCTTCTGTCAGCAAAGGATCTGATAATTCTGCAACATGCATCAGAACGTGTCCCCTGGAGCAAAAAATGAGCACACTGGCGATGCCCATTATGACAAGCACAAGACACTGTAGTTGTGGTCCAAAAGCAAGTGGAACGATTCAACCTGCTATGTACCCCTTACATTGGACCTTAACTGATCAAACTCACAAAACAATGTCTGAGAGTTCTGCCAGTGATTCATGAAGACATACGCTCACCTGGTGTTGCCATCATGGGTTGTTTCTCCTGGCTGCCATTTGAGCCATACGGTTCAACACAGCTTTGGTAAGCCCAGGCCAACAGTGCAACAAGCCACTCCACAAAAGCCCTCCACCTCTCCACGAAAGTAGCATCGTTCTTTTTCATTGTGGACAAGAACGTGGTCAAGCTAGGCTTCTGTCACAGACCCTCCTGCGACCATGCAACCCGGAATCAGAACCACATAAAGTTGAATTGCTAAATATTGCATCATTACTGCATCATTAATATTTGCTTCTCAACACATGCTAGGACTGTTGACATGGTGCACCTGAACACAATTGTCAAGGGGGTAGTGGTCAGCAAGGCGATGGTGAAAATGTGCTTCAGAGCCAAAACCCATGTAACAACAGTCC